CGGGCGTTACAAGAATAGGTTGTTGTGATTGAGTGGTATACCTTGCATCACGTTGTTACGATTGAGTGGTATACCTTGTATCACGTTGTTACGATTGAGTGGTATACCTTGTATCATGTTGTATTATGTACGCGATAGTCTTGATGATTCCTGCATGCAAGTAGCACTTGGGAGAACAGGCATAATTATTGTTTATTGCAATTTGTTTTTGCTTCAATATAGATAATATGTCTTTGGCAATTGATTTTTACATCAGCATGACTTAGATTTATGTATAAATACGCTCCAGTGGCTTCCTTTTCGAGGAGAGCTCAGTGTCGCTTGCTTCTTCTCTGAGTCTTCTTCTTCCCAGAGAGGTGAGTTCTATTTGGTATTAAATTTGGTATGTCCATTTATCGTAAGGACTATTCGGATTCGGTTTGCTGGGGGAAAGAGGTGTTGGGAAGAGGCCACGGCTGTCGATTTTACGCGATGTGACAAAAAACAAATAATTACAGAAAAACTATTTAACACGCAACAAAATGAAAATAACACGTGGGAAGACAAAATTATATGATAAGTCTGGGGAACAGCAGGATGTTCAAGGATTTCCCACTGCCAGAACTCCAGGAGATCGGTGTCTTTTCGGGAAGTGTGCACAGGCGCGTTGTCATAATGGAAGACAACACCTTGCTTAACCCTATCCGTACACCCTGTTGTCATTTTGTACCTCCGGGGTTGTATTCTTCACATATTAGAATACTTCTGGCACGAAGATCTTTTTGAAACTTTCAGTATTTCTTTTAAAAAATCATTTTGACAGACTGCTATGCAAAGCGTACAGATCGGATCAACGAGTAAATTTCCTCTTTGGAAAGTAAAGTGGTGGCAGAGAGTTCCCAACGCCGTATGGATACGATAGTAAAACACGACGTACGATAAGGTTAAGCAGACCGGGTGGCCTACTCCTGACAGCTGGTCTCAAATAATAATATGTTTTGAAGGACTGTCGTGTAATAGTCAGCCGATCGGGTGGGACTTTAACTGAAAAATAGGTCAGAATATCGTTTCTGAGGTTTTTGCGCAAGTGAATACCTGAATGTGTCTAGATATCAAATCCGATACATCATTTTGCTGAGATGAGCACGCTGTGTGTGAAATTTTGTTTTATATGGCTACTTAAAGTATCACAGTAGGTCATTTTTTTAAAACTTTAATTGGCAATTTTCTTTGAACTGTGTTTTTCATACACAGCATGCCACGAAAATCCTAAATTCTCACTTACCTATTACCCTAGGGATTTGAAAATGTTCACAGTGATAGCTTATCCATAATATGTCTAGGTAATGAGCTAGTTGTTTTTGTCTTTCTTTGAAAACGACAGAGGGCATGAGCATTTATATAAAACTAGCTGGGCCCCCTTTCGATGAAAGGAATGATCGGCGGTGCCTATACGTTCTTATACTAACCGTTCTCTGACCGTCAAGGCCGGTGCTTTAATATCAACTACAAGTCATTGGCCTACTATATTTACACTCTAATGGAATGGGGCAATAAATCTTGAGAGATGCAAACAATTATAAGGTCTAGATCTATACTCTCAAAACAAAACGCGCCTCGCGAAATATCACTTCCTGATTTTCTAAAATTACAGAGACAGAAACGTCGACCTACAAAAGCGATCGGCGAAATAAAGAAATGTAGCTTTTTGCAGCAAAACTGTCTCAAAACTGAAAAAACCAAGGGCGCCACGCTCTGGAGAATATTTTAAAGAATTTTTTTGGCGAAAACCGCATGTCGGTCGATGCAGCTATTAAAAAGCCTTTTGAGTAGCAAAACTCGGCCACCACAAATAGATAATAGAAGAGAAGAAGATTAGTGGGCGTATTTTCAACACTTTTTTTAATATCATGGAATTCAAAGTCATGCTACATCCACGAAAACAACAAAATATATAAAACAAAATTGTCGCCCTGTTAACCCAATATAGGTCCCGCCTTTCCTTTCC